ATACAATTTATCATTGAGTCAAATGCTGACTGACGTTTTTCATACTTATTGTCGGGCCATCATTTACACACTGAATTTTGGACGGATTTTCCCGTATTTTTACAATCATGACAAGTAGCACACGACCGGTGTGACCGGTCAGCAGAGGATGCTCACTCTATGTATATCAAGTCTCGTTTAAAGTCATTATTTTGCAACTTTCTTGGTCGATACCCTGTCCGTGTCAGCAAATACAATCTATCATTAAGTCGAATACTGATACACACCAATTACATAAGACCAATATTAACTGATGTTTTAGAGGTCTGTATTCGCTCTGTTCTCGATTTATATGGTTTCAATGAAATTTTAACAGAATAATGTTTGTTCTCTTTATATTTAAGACAATAGCTGCATTTGTGTAAAAAGGAATATTTATGATAAATGCGCAATGGAATCCAAACCATATTTTTTTTTTATAAATTTACATGTATAGATATTGATATGTTTGTTAAGCTTTTATTTAAAAAGAGGTTCTTATCACTTAAAAAAAAATGGATTTGTGGACTTTGAGAAAATTGAATCATATAAAGGTATACATGTTGAGTAAAACGATTTCGCTATCGACATAGGGTACCTGTCATAATTCCCAGAGAAGAGTGTTCAAAGAATATGAAGTATCGTAAACCTTGCCATGGGCTGTTAAACAGGAGCATCAGAGTTTCAATTTAAAAATTTAAATTCATTTATTTTAATTTACGAAAAAAATTAAGATATCATCAAAGTTTACTCGGTTCTCTTTTCTTTCGTTCATTTATGTGTTGTGAAACTTAAATTATAGTATTTTTTGATTGTCTATAAGATGACAATCAAAAAATAGACTAGGCTAGGACATAAATTAATGTTAAATCATGTTTTTTTTTACAAGAAGCAGGTCAATTGCAGGTAAATATAGGTAAATCCTTTAATAGAGAACAGAATGTAATTGTTTTCAAAATACACTGATTCTTCTCTGTTTAATTATCAAGTGTATAAAACTGGAACACACTCATTGTGCATAGGTTATATTATATGTATAGTAAAATATATTTTATTTACAAGTAGACTATTATCTTTTCTTAATATAAAAGTTATATGTGAATGAAATGGTACAATTCTTTAGACACATATTTAATGAAATATGAATTGATTTTAGTACTAGTATATATTTTATGAATTAAATTATATATTTTTGGTGACACATTGTGTTCTTGTTATTTAGTTTTATTATTATTGATATTTTTATATTTTCAAAGCATCAGTTGTACTCATTTTGAATATATGAAAATTAATAATTAACATTTAATCCTTTTTGTTTTTATATTTTGTGTGTATATTTTTTGGTAACCAAATATTTTGATATATAGCTTTGATTTAAAATTATTTAAGAAATGAATTTCATTTTTGAAGATTCATAACGCGCTTCATGAAATATGCTGGCGTGAAGCATCGTAGTTCATAACCTCATGAATCTTCAAAAGTGAAAATCATTTCTTATATTTATTTTATTTTTCTGATGAATTGCCATAAATTTACGCCACTGAATTGTCATTTTTAAAGCAAAACAGCTTGCACTATATTTTTGATGTCGACTGCAGTATTATGACCCAACAATGGACATATTCATGCTCATTTATGGTAGTTCATGAGAAAATGAACTGTATTCTATTTTGTAAAGAATCATAGGGGAAAATTATTGGAAATGTAAATATAATACCCTAAAAACAGGAGCTATTTTTCTAAGACTCATTTGACAATCATCAAATATGCAGCAGAATATTTTTTTATATAAAATAAAAGCTTAATATGCAATCATAATGAAAGATGCTATCTTTTTTTCAAAAATATACGATATCAAAATAAACATTCAAAATATTAATGAAATACTTTAAATAATGTACACATTATTAGTTCTCTCATATATATGTATCAGTTTAATTATATAAAGAGAACAAATCTCTCATTTCATTATATGAACACAAATCACAAATTACAAATTTCTGCTTTTTTCTTAAAACATTATATAAAGGCATCTTCCGCTCATTAAAGAAAGTTTAGAATTCTCAATTCTCGAAACACAATGATTCATAAATGTACACATTATTAATTCTCTCATATATATCTATCAGTTTAATTATATAAAGAGAACAAATCTCTCATTTCATTATATGAACACAAATCACAAATTACAAATTTCTGCTTTTTTCTTAAAACATTATATAAAGGCATCTTCCGCTCATTAAAGAAAGTTTAGAATTCTCAATTCTCGAAACACAATGATTCATAAAAGCTATTATATAAATATTGCATGTAGTTCTGTGTAACATTGAAAATTTGGAGATCAAGTCTTCAAATAATCTCTTTGAATTTCCAGCTGTGATATAATGAGAAAAAAATACTTGCTGTGTGGCCTACAACGTAATATCAGTTAACAATTGTCGAATTGATATATCACAATGAGCTTGAAATTAAAGGTATTACAGAGTTTCATATTTTAATATTTTACTAGAAAAGGACAATTGTGGTAATCTAACAATAACATTTATGATAAAAATGATGATTTTATTTTTTTTTTCAATCGTCTTACTCTTACTCGTGAAGCAATATACCCTTTCACCCCCATGCATATGTGTGTATGTCTCAAGTTATATTGATACACAAGATCATGCTTTATGCGTGAACAATCCCTAAAACGAAGAAAGATGTTGACAAACATTTTGATGAAACAAATACATTGTATATCAAGTCTCGTTTAAAGTCATTATTTTGCAACTTCCTTGGTCGGTACCACGACCGTGTCAGCAAATACAATCTATCATTAAGTTGAATACTGATACATGTACACACCAATTATGTAAGGCCAATATTTACTCACTGAATTTTCTGCGTGATTTTTCTGTTTGCCTGAGCTTGACAAGGAGCAAAGGGAAGGTGTAACCGGTGGAAAGGGGGTGATTACTCCTTAATGCCACCCAATCCCACCTCTGATGTTTTAGAGGTATGTATTTGCTCTGTTCTCTCTCTATATGGTTTCAATGAATTTTTAACAGAATAATGGTTGTTCTCTTTATATTTAAGACAATAGATGTATTTGTGTATAAAGGAATATTTATGATTAATGCGCAATGGAATCCAAACCATAGTTTCTATAAATTTAAATGTATAGATATTAATATGTTTGTTAAGCTTTTATTTAAAAAAAAAGTTCTTAATACTTAAAAAAAATTCTGGATTTGCGGACTTTGAGAAAATCATATCATATAAAGGTTTACATGTTGAGGTTAACGATTTCGCTATCGACATAGGGTACCTGTCATAATTCCTAGAGAAAAGTGTTCAAAGACTATGAAGTATCGTAAACAGAAATAATTGTATTGTAAACAGAATACTTATTACATTGTATTACAATTATTACATTTTATATGAATAGTGTGTAATGAACTTGTTTTAAGAATACTTCGGAACCTATTGGTGATTCTTTTAGAAAAGATATAGGAACCAACATCAGAAAAGTTCCTGAATACATTTTTAACAAACTATAATTATATCAAAGATATTCCTGGAAAAGTTTACTAGGTACTATTTATTTTTAAATAAGTGGACCGTAAAATTATATTCTACAGTAGTGACTCATAGGAAAACTGTTTCAAGGGCGAGGTTAATGTTACTGCAGACTAGAATACCTGCAGTAAACCATTTTCGTTTACAGTTCGCAGCATATCTCCAAGAACATAAATCAAAACACCTAACTTAATCGTATGTTGTCAACGTTATGACCGACACACTTACTACAGAGTTGATGACAAAATACCAGAGTTTTTTAAAACTATATTGTGGTTTACTGCATTTTACTTTTTTATGTCTGAGACCATGATTAATTAGTCTTGCAGACATCATTTAATGCAATTGCCGTTTCTCCGAATTTTGCTACAGGTGTTAAATATCCATGTAATATATATATGCTTGCTCTGGACAGAAAAACAATTTTTCGGATTATTATGTGCATATTTACGTACGTGTATAGAATAGAATAAATATTTATAATATGAATCACATTTAATTCAAAACATTAGTATTTTTTCCCTAAGATATAGTTCATATTTCTCTCAGATACATAGACCAAATTTTGTGTCTTCTTTTATGAAACTCTAAGATGACCCGCACCCTTGTTGTCATAAATAGCGTAAATAAAATACCATTCAATATCGATCTACATGCATCTTCATAATGGCAAGGTTTTGTGATATCGTTCCCTTGACGAAAGTTACTATCAAAAATTCAGGCAAACAAGATGTTTTTATGAAACAATGAAGTTTCTCAAACGCAAGCGAAACTCCAAGGTCAAAATGTCAAACTTGTTGGTATCAAGAGGAAGTTAGCTTGTCACAAGGAATAAACATGTGAAATTTTAAATCTCTAGTACGTTTCCAAAGTTATGGTCAAGGTTAACTTAAAGTTTTTACAAAATGGGTCAAACTCTATGGTAAAGGTAAAAAATATTTTTACCAATTGAAAGGTCTTGTCATAACGAATACACATGTGAAATATGAAAGCCTTAAAAGCGCCAATTGTTCGAAAGTTATAATCAAGGTCAATTAATTTTTATTATCTTTTTTTGGAAAAGTGGGCCAAACTCCAAGGTCAAGAGGTCAAATTTGGTGGTACCCAAAGAAAAGTCTTGTCACAAGGAATACGCCTGTGAAATATGAAAGCAATGGCCCCATCTAATCAAAAGTTATGAAAAAGACTATAAATTAAGATTTTGCAGACACACAGACGAACAGACAAACAGTACAAAATTTATATATATCCCCGATTCTTCAAGTACGAGGCATAAAAAGTTACTTTATTTACATTTCTTGCTGGTTTAGGACTGGAACCAAACAGAAAACAGCCTTTATTGTGGGTAATCCGGAATTATGCAGCTTGCATATTCTCGGTTTCCTACATTCAATTATGTGGCGAAGAGTACTTCCTTGTAAACAAAGAACCAGGCCAGAGGGGGTGATTTTTTCTTTCAGACGTATTCCTCGCTTGTAGGCGTTAAGATATGGTCGATACAGTTTGATCAGGTAATAAAGAAGGATGAATGCAAGATGAACTAGAAAATCTGTACAGTGTATTAATATCAGAAAAGATTCTACTAAAAACACTGAAAAATTCTCTTAGCTATTGTACGAAAATTAAGAAATGCATTATATGATATCAATACATAAAATATCATCTTCTGAAACTTGCTTCAAAACCGTCTCAAATGCTGTCAATACCCACTTTCTTCCATTTCATGTAAACATTCATTTTACTGTGAAACCATGGTGTGACGTTACATCAACTGAGTAACAAAAGTTAATTTGGAGAAAAATTCTTTATATTGTATGTGCACTGTCTGAATTTTCTCCTTACCAAGGCATTGTTGTAAGAACTTGACAGTGCGATATTTTTATTGTGGCCCAATACTTGATATCGCGATTACTTAACTTAGCGGAACTCTGTTGGATGGGGGCAAATGTGCTTTTGAATACAATGCAAGATCAATCATTGTAGAATTTATAGGGACAGATAAGTAAAAAATCCTGGTGGAATACTTTGCTAAACAATCACTGAACCAGCCTAATCAATTTTTGAGAGGAGCTAATCCTAAAATGTTACATTTTTTTTAATGATATTTTTAACTAAGCAGACTCTTCTCATTAAATTTTCATTGAAAATTGTCATATTTTAAGGTAAGTCACTTGTCAGCTTTTTAGAAAAGTTCACGCAGAACCTCTAACTTCAAAAAATATTTATTAAAATTCAATTTTTATAAAATAATTGTATTCAACAATGTATATTTTTTAACAATCAAAGAAAAAAACTGCTCAAAAATCTTCAAAGAAAAGATTTATTAGGGACTATTTTGTGGTGGAAGGATATTTAAAAATTTTTTAAACAGGATTTTTTATATTTTATTGCTTCGCACTCGTGAAAATATCAAAAATCCTGTCCCACTCGTGAAATAAATTCCATATTCAACTACAAAACATTGAATATCCTCTATTTATTTTTCTAGTACCCAAAATATGTTATATTTTAGTGCAAAAAGGTCAAATAATTATTTACGCGCATTAATTTGCAAGATTTGATCAATGATAAATATTATTCAAACTTTATTACGTAAAGTCAAAAAATTTGTTGCCATGGTTACAGCTAAAAAATATAATAAGAGATAATTGTATAAAAGTAACAAACTAAAGGGTTAAAATTTAAGTGCAAATAGGTCTTGATTGTACCGTAGCTAAGAAAGACGCACACTGACGTCCTTTTTCCCTGCGATTTTGAGTCACACTTTATGAGTACTTATCCAAAATATACTTCTCAAAAAATCCTTGATATAAGAAATTTGAGGAGTGACTTACCTTAAAGCTAATAAAATATTCTAAACTTTTCTTTTTTGTCAATCTACTACATGTATTTTGAGTTCAATCCTTGGCAACACATTGTACTTTCGGCATAAAATTGTTCGAATCATTGCATTGGATTGTCACTAATGTCATGTGCCCAAGAGATTTAGAGCTTCCTTAGCGGTAGTAAGATAGATAACTGCGAGGTAATTGCAATATTACGTATTGCTCAACTGGTACAGCTTCTGTATGTACACTTTGTACATGTATAGTCTGTGGTGTTTAAGGAGGAAGGGATTTAAATCCTGGTCTGAACTGTTGCATTTTCATTCTTTCTTAGCACTGATATACATGTCCTTATAATTACTAATACATGTATATTATATAAATGTATGTAATATATTAAGCAATCTTTCCCTTGCATATCAAGGAATTTAATGGAATGGCAGAACCAGATGTCACACAGATAGGTCTGGACATTTTGAGTGAGTTTCTAGAGGTAGCCATCCACAGTATTCTGTATGACAGGGAGCTCTACCCTGCTGGTGTGTTTGAGAGAAGGAAGAAGTACAACGTCCCAGTACAAATCTGTGTTCATCCAGAGGTCAATCGTTACATTACTCAGGTACATGTACATGTGTATATTTTTTAATTTTGTTTTATTTATCTTCTGTTCTTCTAAAGAATTTTTTTGTCCTCTGAAATTCCACTCTTTGAATGATGAAATGTATTTTTCAAAAATGATATCCTTAGCAACTATTGTATAAATTACATTATGAAATATTTTAGAAATAATTTTGTCTTATCTATTGAAATATTAATACTGAATTTTAAAATTGTTTTAATGATTCAATCATACTTTTTTCATGTTTGTTTAGGTAGTTAATGGTTTATCAGAATTCAACACCAATGGTCAATTAGAAAAAGTTGCAATAGTGATTTGTAATAGTGATTCACAGCCAGTAGAAAAATTCATCCTGGAGATCAATAAGCCATCAGTATCTCAACAACAGGTAAATTAAACAAAACTAATTTAACTTAATTTGGAAATTAATTTCATTGCATAGCATCAACACCTAAGTTTTAATAGTGAAAACAATGTAAAATGTTATGACTGTCCTTGCTAATTGTTATTTCTTTATACAGGTGACATTTTTAATAAATATTTAAAGAAGTAGACATACATCACAAGTGGGAAATTGTGGGATATATATTTTCTCAAGAGACCAATACTTAATATACAAATTGCCAAATGTGTATGAGTTGATTTACCTGTCATTGCTTTTAACAGACAGACAGATATCTGTACCAGCTGGAACAGTCCTTGAGGTCATTCTTACTGAAGATCAACATGGCCGACTCTCTACTGAAATCCCTTCCTACCGACTGCACCTGGACGATCCACGCAACCACACAAGAGTCCGCAGCAGCCAGAATGTTCGATAAAAATGTGGAAGAAGATTTCCCTTGGTTAGAAGCCTCAGAAGAGGAAACTAGGATGGAAAGTCCTTCTATTTTGCCCCTTAAATCAACCACGTCCCCATACTTAAACATGCAGATGTATGTAGAGGAGGCAAAAGAGAGCAAAGGCAGCTGATGTTCATTATATAACATTGAAAAAGTGCTCAGTTTTGTGTTCAGTTAGAAGATGTGTTTGAAGTGCCTAACTTGTTTTTAATATTTGTTATCATGTTAGAATAATTCTCTGTATGAAAGTACATGCATGATTTCATCATAATTGAACTAAGTCAAGATATCAATTTTAAGCATTATGGCTATCAAACATAGTACATTTCTTTTTTCATCTTTTGTATGAAGCTCATTCCTGGTGTACAATGTATCTTAATTTATTTTAGAAAAAAATGTTTTTAGATAATAAAACAATTGTAAAAGGATCTTTCTTTTTAAATCAGTTAAAAGGGTTATTTCCCATAACAGAATCAATATCTAAGTCATTTCAGACTTGTTAAATTGTTCACAGATTTCCAGATTTTCTGTTTCATCATTGGGTTTAATGATATGTCCTTCAGAGTGAACTTGATGGGGTATGACATCCCATTGGCGGATATGAATCAGTGATCGGGAATTCCCAGTGGTGTCTTCAGACTTTTTACCAAGTCTGATTTTTAAATGACTGTGGCTATGTATGACATGTGAAATAGCATCACTGAAGATATCAGCTCCGTAACTGCAGTGACAACAGTAGAACTCGTATTTATCACTCCGCCTGGAAAAGAGAAAAAAATATGTTAATTTTTTAAATTTTTAAATAATGGATGCAATTGAAGATGTTGGGTTCATATCAGATTGATTCGGGGGAATTCTCTTTCACAATTTTCAAAAATCGTGCATTTTTGTACAATGAATATTTGTAAAATCAATATTCCTGATTGAAATACAAGTATGTAAGCCTCTAACTTTCTAATTGTTCGAGTTTAAAAAATGAAAATCTGTTTGCATCATTCTTTCAAAACTTTGACGCAACAACACTTCTAAGACCCCTATCCATGAAAACTGCTGTTCATTGCAAGTCTTATGCAAAGTTCAAGGAATGATTATGTACTATTTTTTTTTTATGGACAAAAGATATATTTTTTATAGAAAAGTTCAAGGTAAAAATCTTTGCCTGCAATATATCGATTCTCAAAAACCTCTGTTACAATTCTCAAAGTTCATAATCATAATGTATACATAATGTATAAAACTGCATGAATTCAATGTCAGCTACTGAGTTAAGTATGAGGAGTCTGAAGGAAAATGCGACTTTGAAAAATTATAAAAGAGATTTTAAAAAACTGATTCTGCTATTCTTTCAGTCAACTAGTTGGCATAAAACTTATTGGCAAATTCCTCAAAAAAAAAAAATAAAAAATAAAAAAATCGGCATAAAAGAATTAACGATTTGAACAAAATAAATCATTGGTACTCAAAACTTATCATGTCAAATTCTTCTACATTTTCCGTGTAGTGCTAATTAATTACATGTATCAATTCACTTTTCTTTCTGGTAACAAAAATTATTGATTTTCTTTGTACATGCAATTTTCTGCTAGTCTGTTAGAAATCTTCTCAAGAAAATCAAGACCATGATTTATCATATTAATGTCCAAGCGTTGTCATGTAAAGTTCAAATCATGGCCATAGAACAAAAGGTAATCAGTATAGGAAATATATTCGTGTATTGGGATTTAAAGAAACTTCTTTAAAACAGGATTGATATAAAAGCTCTTGCACATAGTGTACATGTACATTCATTTTTTTTCAAATCGTGATTTCGGCCCTAAACTACAAACATGCATGTTGGTTGGACCGTAATTTTTACGGAAATTTTATAGGTAAATGAAGTGGCGGATCCAAAAATCTTGAATGGGGGGTCGGGGTAGGGGCCCACAGCCACACCAAAACATTTGATGTGTTAAATCATGTATATTTTGCAATTGGACACAAAAGAGAGCCTTGGTCCTATCGCAATAATCCTTCTTTTTAAAGTCTATGTATCTTTTGCATTTAACCTACTTCTTTATGCTTTGTTATTATTGTAATTATATGTCACTTTATTGTTTTCATAAATCTTTATTACATTTCACTTTGACTTTTATCCTTCTTCATTTTGCCCTTACTTCTATGTTGCTTTATTCTTTTAAATTCATTTTACTTTCTTTTAAATTGATACAGTTTCTTAAATAATTATAACTATTACGAACGTTAACTCAATCACGCAAACAATGAAGCATATTCAATGAAGACGAATACAAGTTGTCTTAATTTAGTGCCGCATTATAACGCTAGGTGGCAGGGGTGTTCGCTAAGAATGTTGGTAAAATTAGGTAAGCAAACCCGGGCCATTATTCAGTTTTTTCAATTTTCTGTCTTAATACTTTATTAATCAAACTTAAATTTTTAAAAGACTGATGTTTGTTATTAGTTCAGGTATGTACCCGATACATGCCATTCCCTCGGAAGTCTCGCTAGATGGTAAGATTTCCCCTGGAAGACTGACTTCATAGTGATGCTTCCTGCGGAAGACTATACATTGGGACTCCCCCGGAGAAGTTTCAATATAGTCTTCCGTGGGAAATCTCGCTATATATAGCAATTCGTCCCCATTTCTAGCAACCCTTACCCCGAATAGTTTTTTTAAATCGTAAAACAATGTTTATATATACTAACGTTTTCAGTTTTTGAAGAAAAGTTATCCGTTCTATCATGGACCTATATACTAGTATATAGGTTCTATATGAATAAAATTAAAATAATATCATTTTAATAGTGTTTTTTAATTAAATCATTTTAACCATTTAGTTAAACATAGATAATCTTCACGAGTACATATGGATACTGACTCTCTCTCTCTCTCTCTCTTGGATGCAGTCGCCAGCGTGGCACTGTGGTTACGGCGTCTGCTCTTTATAGAGTCACGAAATACAGTAGTAATACGTCGTGGGTTCGAATCCGACTATAGGATGTGGAGTTCGGTCCTTCGGATGAGATCTAGACCGTATTATCCGAGGTCCCGTGTCGCAGTAGGTGCTGGCACGAAAAAAGATCTCTCACTGCTCGATGGCTATAAGTACCGAGTATATAGGACAAATTTGCAGCTCTCCACCGGCAAGAGGTGGTTTCTCCATTTGAGTGAAAAATTCTCGAAAAGGAAATTATACAATGCTATTTAAGTATAAAATATTAACGCACAAAAAAAGACCGGGGTGTTTCTAGTATGCCTGGGTGCATGTAGTCTGGCTCCGACTTAGCCTTCCATGCGCGGATCTAGATGGGGGGTGGGGGTGGGGGGTTAGGACCCCTTCGAATTAACAAGGTTACTAAAACAAGGAAAAAAGATACCCCCCCCCCCCCATGAAATAGAATTTTGACGTTTGAGCAAGTTTAGGTTTTTTTCTTCTCTTTATGCTTGTCAAGAAATTTCTGGGATTGGATTTTTTGTTTGACTGGGTTGCCCCCCCCCCCTCCCCCTGGAAAAAAATTCTGGATCCGCGCCTGCCTACCCATAACGCTCCTCAATCCTTTGCAAAGCCCTGTCCCTAGAATCACGCGCATAAGCAGTTACTATCTGTCGTGAAATAAAGTTCAGTTCAGTGGAAGGTTCTGAAAAACAACCCAATTTATCAGGGTTAACTAGTTTTAAAATCTGTAACATTTTTATAACAATTAAACTGTAATTCAAATATCCAACAAATAACTTTAGTAGAGTTATATTTTTCAGGCGAGAGAACAGTGACGTAGCATTGTTTTTGAAAGTCGGGAGGGGGGCAACAAGAGAATAAATATTCAAGCTACCCGGCTGAAAACATCTGACAAGCGCAAAATAAACCCCAGGAAATTGTCCAAACTTGAAAATACTTAGGCGTCGGAACCGGGGAAGGGGGGGGGGGGGCTTAACCCCCACTTCTTTCCAAAGATAGACTTAGTGTAGACATTGAACATTCCTGCGTAGCTTTAGCCCCCCCCCCCCCCCCCCCCCCTTTCCATGGACACGATGCAGTAAAGGTATAAAATGGGGAAAGTGGTGGTATTTGGGAAAAAAAATTGGCACTGGAGTTCGAACGTTCAACCCACCCCCACCCCACCCCTCCTCTCGAAATAGGATTTTTGTGTTTGGAAAATGGACCTCTTTTTTTCTTCTTTTTTTTTTGAAGGTCTAAAAAAATTCTTAAATACTTACCCCCCCCCCCCTAACTTTCAATTAGCTTCAGACGCCAATGAAATCCTATTTCGGGGGCGTGGTGGGTTTTGAGTTAGATTCAACTTCTTTAGAATCAAATTTAAATTTTCTTCCTACTATACGTACTACATTTACTTAATTGACCCATACTCTTACAAAAAGTGAGTCGACCTTTAAATGAACATAGTATAGTATAAAGCTATGTCTGAAAAAGAGGCCGCTATTCTTGTGTGCCCAGAGAAAATAATTATGGAGTTTCCATCATTGGATCAGGAGATCGGATCCGGCCTTCAGAAGTATTACTTAAGGCGTATTGAAGAATTTCAAATAACCCGACCCGGGTTTGCTTACCTAGTTTTACCAACACTCGTAGCGAACACCACGCCACCTAGCGTTATAATACCGCACTAAATTTTGACGGTTTGAGGTAGACAACTTCCATTCGTCTTCATTGAATATGCTTCATTGTTAGCGTGATTGAATTAACATTCGTAGTAGAGATAATGCTAATAATTTATTAAAGAAACTGTTTAAGTTTAAAAGAAAGAAGAATGAATTTACAAGAATAAAGCAACATAGAAGTAAAGACAAAATGAAGAATGATAAAAGTCAAAGTGAAATGTAATAAAGACGAATATGAAAACAATAAAGTGACATATAATAACAATATAATAACAAAGCATAAAGAAGTAGGCAGAATAAGAATAAAAGCAAGATACATAGACTTTTGGCGGTAATTCCCTTCCATATGGTCCCCCTCTAAATGTGTCAAAAATCAGAGAACATGAAGAAAGTGATGTCATAATAAAGGAAGTATTCTCAAGAACTGCAGATTCAAGTTTGTACAAATTGTACTCAGACGAACATACTAAGTATCTGAAAATCGGCATCCACGACCAGCAGTGAGATTAAACTCCGCTCCTCAATACGAAATCATGTGCCACGCGGGTGACAGATGCCACAAATTATATTTTTAAAAAATTACCTTTCTTATCACTTACCTCTTGATGACTCGTTGTCGTGGCTTTAATTGATGAATGTCCTGGCCTGATTTACATGAAGTACATGATGCCAGTGAAGCAAAAACAGATTCATGAAACAGGGGTCCAAATGCAGGCATACTTAACTCCTAAACACCCGGCGGGTTTCTGTTCTAAACTTGGTAATGCTGCACCAAAACAGAGAATCAGAAAAGAGACCAAAATTCATCACGTATTTAAAGGTTTCATCCGATTTGAGCCCCCAGTCAATGTAAGTACCAGTATTACATGCATTTATGGCGATTCGTGACTTCAGTGTATTAAGACAAAAAAAGTATGAAGGTAATCACTGTACATGATTTCGTGCAACATGGCAGAATCAAAGAGAAAAATCAAAATTTTTATCTGAAATATCTCACTCGTGATGCTAGGATAATTATTTTGAATTAAAACAAATTACGATTGGGAATTTTTTATCACTTCTATGACATCATACAAACAAGAGGACTTTTTAGGACAACATTTTGCTAAAAAGTTTTTGAATGAATTATGATTTATAGAAATTCGAATAGAATTATAAGTCGGATAATACAAGAGTGCAAATTATATACCCACCGAAATTCCAAGTAACTCTTCAAAAGCAAAAGATGGCTGTATTCAGGTATACTTATCTTTTTTAAATTCATTTAACAGACATGACCGTGTTTTACTTCTTACCTTAGAATGGACACATGATATTTATTAAAGATATATCTTAACTTTTACACAGAATATTAATGTACAGAAAGTAGTTTCAGAACTGTTTTTCTACGGTTGACAAATTCAGACAGATAAACCAGAAATCTACAGATCCAAGAATTGTTAAAAACCTCTGATTTACAGCCTTTCCATCATACACGTACGTATTCGTTAGATCTAAGTTATTGTGAGATGTTTTATTTATTCCAAGAGCTCAAGAAAACAATCAAAAGAAGACTTAATTACTTTTAGAAAAATCACTTTACATATCTATGCTTATTTACGGCAGCGTTTTCAAACAAGAACAAGATATGTTTATGAAACACCTATGTCCCCGTATGGCAGCTTATGGCAAGGGTTGAAGTTTTTCAAACACAAGTCAAACTCCAAACACAAAGGTCGAAATTGTTGGTATCCAAAAGAAAGTCTTGTCACAAGAAATACACCTGTGCATTATGAAAACCCTAGTGTTAACTGTTCAAAAGTTATAACCAAGATTTTTTTAAAAAGTGGATCAAACTTCAAAGTCAAGGCCAAACAGTCAAAAATATTTTAACTAATTGAAAGGTCTTTTCACAATGAATACACATTGAAGTATGAAAGCATTAGCACCAACTGTTCAAAAGTTATGGCCAAGGTTGATGTGTGGAAACTTTTGGTAAATGTGGGTCAGACTCCAAGGTCCTGAGTTCAATTTTGGTGGTACACAAAGAAAGGTCTTATCACATACAATATACTAGTGAAATATAAAAGCCCCACCATCTCAAAAATTATGGCCAAGGTCAAAGTTTCGCGTACAAACAAACAGTCAAACAGACAGAAGGACAGGGTAAAAATTATACTAAAGTTTACCCCTGAATCTTTGATTAAAGGGGCGTAAAAATAGCCCCAGGACCATTTTTTGGAGTTACTTTTTAGAAAGCTGCTGAAATTTCCCCAATGCAATGTTTACAATTTAACATAAAAACTGTACACACCGGACCTAATATCTATAGGAATAAACCTGTATATATAAAGGCAACATGTTTGGAGACGTCGACCTAGCTTTTCGTCTCAATAATAAGGCGACATTTTCGGGTTCCACTAAAAAGTAACCTATGTTTTGACAGCCATCAAATATATCATCTTTTTTAAAATTTATTCTTTGTAGATCATTATGCCCCCATAATCGAAGATTCGGGGATATATTGTTGTTGTCATGTCTGTTCCCCCGTTTGTCTTTCTGTTTGACTACAAAAACTTTATAACCTTGCCCATAACTATTGAGTGGATGGGGCTATATGGCTTTCATATTTCATAGGTGTAATCTTTGTGACAAGACCTTCCGATGGGTTTAATATCTTTTGACCTTGATCCACTTTAAAAAAAAAAAAAAACTTGAACTTTGGCCATAACTTTTAAACAGTTAGTACTAGGATTTTCATATTTTACTATTGTATTCCTCGTGACAAGACCTTCATTTGGATACCAAATTTTGACTTTTGACCTTGACTTCAGAGTTTGATTTGCATTAATTTTGAGACACTTCAACCCTCATTATAATTTAAGCTGCCATACAGGGGCATCAGTGTTTCACAAACATATCTAGTTGGCACATGTTTTCTCTTTTAAAAGTAATCGCAAGGAAATAATATTCTCATGTAATAAAAACATTTTAGATTTTTTTCCTTACAAATAAGAACTCAATAAAATCTTAGTATGATAATAAAATGTTTAGAGTCTTCGCAATTTCTCTCACTGTAAAAATGGAATTCAAAGATGCTTTGTTGCTCAAAACATTGACAATTTTAAGTATATCTATGCAGAATTTGATCTACCAGTTCGACTGGAATTTTTTGACAATCAAAAAAAAAAAAATATTTCTCAATCCATCTGAACACTGTTCAGCGTGAAACTCTTTTACATGGATATCAAAACCAAAGACCTTTTCAGTGATTTGGGTAGTGAAGCAGTTCTTTCCTAAATTTAATCTTGCCAATAGTAATTCCATTCCAACTTTATTCTTGTGAATTACAACTTCAATATTGGCTTTGTCAACTTAAACCTTGGATTTTCCTATTTTAAAAATGGAAATTCCAACTTTGAAAGTTGTTTATTCCAACTTTAATTTTGACTTTTACAACTTCAAAATTGGTAATTCCAACTTTAATCTTGGCTTTACCTATTTTTATCTGGGATATTCTAGCTTTTATCTTGGCATTTCCAACTTTAATCTTGACTTCTCCAACTTCAAGCCTGGCTTTTCCTATTCTAAAATTAGAAATTCCAACTTTAATTTGACTTAACTTTTCCAACTTTAATCTTGGCTTCACAATCTCTGTTCGTTTTTTTTTTTTTTTTTTTTTTGCATATATTCAGATACTTTTCAGTGTTATTCGGATTGCCGTTTTATACATGTAACTTCAATGGAAAGAACGATATTATAGTGATAAAAGAGGGGGGCGGTTATCGTGTTTTCATAAACAGAATTAATACATTTAGCTCGTGTCTTTCTAACAGAAAAATTAATATGGTGATGATACATCCTCCATGTATTTATCAAACACCTACAAAGAAATGTTATCATTACAGTCTCAAAAACAAAATAAAATTTTATGTCTGATCTCATGAGCAGACTTGGTTGAACTCCTTTCATCGGAGTTGGAATTATCTATAAAATTACATGATGGACCAAAAGAAATATAAGGTCTTTTTTTACTCGAAATATAATTGATACAGATTGCTAGTTATTGCTTACCAATTCGTTTCAGTGTATCAAGTTTGCATTTATAGGGTTGGCAATGATTTAAAATGTATGGAAAAAACGAAAAAGGCTAGAAAAGCTATTAAAAAAATGGAAAAATCATTACTTAAGTTGTAAAGTCAAGATTTCAATTAGAATGTCCACGTGCTTTGAAGTTGGGATTACCAACTTTGAAGTTGGAGAAGCCAATTTTTATGTTGGAAAAGTCCAGATAATAGTTAGAATTACATACTTTAAAGTTGGAAAAGCCAAGATAAAAGCTGGATTTACCAACTTTATAGTTCATTTGGGATTTCCATCTTTTAAGTTGGAATTCTCAACTTTGAGTGGACTTATATAGGTCATGCATGATGTCTAATTCAATTAGGTAATCTGACTTTACATATTAAAATATTGATTAAGTTAAATTAATTATCAACTTTAAAATATATTACGTTGCACCAAAAACGCTTCATGAGTAGCGACCATGCTTACTTTGAAATTGAATTCCCTTGCGACGCCTGCAGGAAAATGCAAACGGTTTTTGCAATTATGAGTTTTAGTGAAAAGTAAACTACGTCTTCATCTATTGTGATATATCGGATGTTGAAGGACTCACTGAACGATTTTCATTGCTACTGACAACTGAGACTGATACATGAAGAATATGGAGATAACGAACAGTATTCAATATCAAAGTCCATAAAACAATACAAAATAGGAGCAGAGCAAACACGGACCTCCGAAACATCAGAGGTGGGATCAGGTGCCATGGAGGAGTGAGCATCCCCTGCTGATCGGTCACACCCGCTGTGTGCTCATTGTCATGATCGTGAAATAACGGAAAAATCTTCGTCAATTTAGTGTATAAATAATGGACTAACAATTGGTATGAAAAACGTCAGTCAGCATTTGACTCAATGATAAATTGTATTTGCTGACAAGGTCATTGTATCGACCATGTAGCTATTCTTACTAACGCAAGCTCAATAACCTTGTAACGGGATCATGAACCAGGTATTCCGATCATCTATATGGTGTTTATTACCTGCATATTGAAGCTTAATTTGCAAACAAAAGCAGTTTTACTATGCGATGTTAAATAGGTTTTTTTTTAATTTTTCACTGTTTGTCTCATTTCTTTGTAAAATAAAATTTTTGGTTTCAGCTTAAGATGAACCTTCAACTTCCATATAAATGTCGAAAACATCTCGATTCTCACTTACTTAGAAACTTCATTAGTTTTACCCTTAAGAAAGTTCAAGTGCAATGCTGGTGCATTTAATTAGATTGCTAATACTTTTACATTCCATCCTGCTCTTTATGTGTTGAAAACAATCGTTGTAAATCAACGGACAAAATCTTGGAATCCAAAAGTTGTGAAAATTTCATTTAGAATTATAACTTTCTGGCTTGTAAACACGAGTTCCTAACTAATATTCTGGGCCTCTTATCGTACCAAGGCTGGTGGTTTATGCTCACTTGTTCAAGGGTTCACACTCGGGATGTATTCCTGTAAAAGCTATTATAAAAATTGTCTTTAAGCCCATCCTTTGGTTTATTTCCGTTTCAGAAAATACAATCGAAATGTTCTTTTTACTGAAATCAATTTAATTTTTCATCAAACTTGGTTCTTGACTTATAAAAGGTTAATAATTTCTCTTCCTTTTATTAAGGAAAAAATCACTTATATGTCAGGGTTTTTTCTTCATTAAAATACATATGCAGTTATAATACACCACCTTACGTTTGATTTAGGAAATTTATAATCTACCAATACTGAATACAAGTTATACTTTGTCACCGTGATTGTTTAAAAACAAATACAACTATACTTGAACATAATCAGGGTATGGTATACAGTGATTCAACATTTTACTGTTACTCTTTCCTTTAAAAATGAAACTAAAAGTTTAATTTCTTGTCTAGGTAGCGCTTTATCGATTTAAGCAAATGCACAGTGCATGCCAAAGGATTGCCAATACCAAGAAATTACTTGAAAATGCTCTTTCATCAGTGTTTCCCATGTTCTCGTCAATCCCATGTGATAACTGGGTGACAAGTTTTACTTTCCTTTGGGTAAAGATTTACTCTTTAATTGACAGATACATTTATGAAACAGGTTAAGACACATAACTATACAAATACAACACAAAAAGATTCGTGTAGAGACCATAGCAAGAGCAAATGGGGTCTTCAGGTCCACAAATGAGTTTTAGCAACACATTGGAAGGCCATTCTTAATTAAACACCAGCTTCCAAAATCAAGGCTAAACAATATATGAAATATTTAAAGAAAAATAACACAAGATTCTATTTTGTCAAGTGGGCGTGGTCTTGCAGTTCATTATTCTTTGGTCAGACTAATTTGTTCGCTGTCACTGTTAACTTTAACCTTGAATCCTTTGTCAGCCTCATCCCGCGGGATAATGTTCCACTGCTTGAAGTGTTGCTCAAAGTGTTGGTTATTCTCATTAAATGTCCTTTTCCTTATTTTGACTTCAGATTCTCCATGAAAATTGATCACGTGATGCACAGCGTCTTCAAAACAGTCAGAACCTACACTGCAGTAGCCGCAGAAATAGGTGTAGTCTTCGCTATGTCTGGAACGAGAACCAAGTACCTGGTTAACAATATAAGAATATCGTTTGCAGGTAAAAATAGTATCATGAATAAAAATCCACAATTCAAATATAAATTCTATTGCAGATATTAAGGATAAATAAAAAAAATTTAAAAGTTGATTTAAACTATATGACAAACGTTTGTCTTTCCATTTGTGATTAGTTAACAATACATTATGCCCCCAATTATCAACTAAAAAATGAGTTGCGTCCTTATCCAATAAAAGTCCACAACTTATTACATGCTCTAAGATAGGATTGCAATGTATCATATTGCAAAAATTTTCCAACATACTGTCCCTTATATTAGTTTAGTGCTTCAGTATTGAATTGAATTTACAGGGAGATAAGGCTCACATTGTAAAGCTATTTAAGTACACGAGTTTTTACTTTCGTAGTTTCCTTGAAGAACAATAGCCTTTTTTATTTACAATTCTGCGACAGCTGAGGATTACAGATGGGTCTTGTTTGAATTAAATGTCGTTAGATTGGCGACATTTAGGTGGAGCAAATAATACTAATGCAAGGAAAGAAGCCACAAAAGCTAGTGAGTCCTTTATCTTAACTGCGTGGATAATATACTTTATCAACAGGACTCTGCTGCATTCTTTTATTTCTCCTTTACAATTTAACTGTACAATAAATCCTCTGTAACGTCTGCGTCATAGTACATATGCATATTATCGAAATGTCAGTGTCTATAGTTTTTTAATTACATTTAAGTAATTCCACTACACTCGATTGATATCATCCCACCCATGCTATAAAGAGATATTCAAAGAGGGGAATAAAATATGGCGATAAAGAACAATATTAAAGCTCCAAAGGCCATCGACACAATGCAAATCGGGAGTAGAGCAAGCACGGACCTCTATAACCTTGGTAGTGGGATCAGGTGCCATGGAGAAGTGAGCACCCCCTGTCAACTGGTCACACCCGCCGTGTGCTCCTTGTCATGATTAAACAAACGGGAAAATCAATAGACAATTTAGTGTTTAACTAATGGCCAAACAATTAAAATGAAAAAGAGAGATCCGACTCCATGACAGATTGTATTTGTTGACAATCGTACGGTAATAATATATTTATGGCTGTCTTCCTTCAACTCATAGTTAGAGGGAGAACAGCTCTTTGAACAATAAAGATAAAATGTTCATTTATTGAATATAAATGACAATAAACAAATAGAAATACAATATTTATATGTAATAAATTAATCTGTGATAGAGCTGAAATAGAAAACAGTAACATTTTTACTTCATTTGACTTCTTTAGAGCTGATAATCAATAAGAACGAAAACAGTAGTGAACGTACGTTGGTTATTGGAAGCACACGTGTAAACATGGAATCTGTTCATGTAGCCGATACTCACTGCTAATCCAGTGAGCTTTTACCATTTTATCATGTTACTTTTTCTAATCAGATTTGTCAGTTTTCCGTCTCCAGTAAATTCAAATTATTTTGATCATCGCAAGAATTTAAAAATGTTACTTAAATAAACAAATATATCAGCAGCCATTTTCATACAATTTAACGGATGTGATTTAACAGATTTTGGCGAGAATTAATTCATCTTTCTTTTCATACATAATTATAAAATGGCCTGCAATACCCTGTAGGATAAAGTGAGAGGTAAACAACAAGACTTTTGTAAATGTTACTGTAGAAACTATGTAGATAACAAGAAACAATTACGTCGTGAATAAATATTTATTGGCAAACCTCTAAAGCAGACAATAAACTTTCTTGGAGTATACAACAGGTGTACGGTAGCAAATTACATTAAATAAAGCATCCGAGAGTTTACAAGAGACAGGCAGACAACGATAACAAGATTCGCATAAAATTAGCCAGGAATGCCTCTCTAAATGCATTAAAAAATCTTAAGTATCTAACTAGCCTTGTTTATTTATAAGAGCTACTTACTTTCGTATCACTTTTTGTCTCTCCAACTTCTTCTTATGGGAAGACATGCTTCATGGCGCCTTCATGTCGATTTCTATATTCCCAATCTTACGAAATTAAACACACAAATTAAAAAAAAAACAAGGGAACCTAAATCCGCGGCTTGCTTGAAGCATGCAGCTGCGTCATGACGATGAAAAGGAGCGTGCAACTCTCGTCTGCTGTTGTTCATTCAGAAGTGCGCATAAGAGCGGATATCCTGCGGCTTGAGCCAAAATGTCAAAAGATCATATTTAGGAAATTCCATATACACATGTAATATCTCAATTCATCTTTATAATAGCAAATTATTTTTTAATAAGTACACCGAAATTATCTTGTCCTGTGAATTGATTTTCTAGGAAATGTGTTCTTCCTGGGTAATTAGATTTTTCCTGCGTATTATGTATAAATATAGGTCGGCTATTTATGATTGCTTTTGAAGATAGAACTAGAGATTAAAATATTTTGAGATCTACAGCATCACCAATTGACTTAAGGAAGTATATTTCAAATAAAGAAAATATTAAATACTTTTAAACACAACAATAAAACTCTACAAATTTTGACATTTAAAGACGAGATTGACATTGTAAGCTTACTGTAGATCATGACACCTTATATTCACGAGGTACTAGTAGACATTAACTCCTTATTAGCGAGACAAAATTTTCACGAATATAGGTTACTGTTTTTAGAACTTATTTTTAGGTATGTCCCTTAGTATACTGGAAAATGGCAGATACCTATGGTTTCCTGGACTTGTTTCTTCCTTCTGATAGATGTAAAAACAAGTCAAAAGTCGACAGATCTGGCGAATTTTTGTTAATGTGAAAAAACATTAATTCTCTGTTTATCCCGAAAACCCCTTTACTCTTCAGAACGTGCGGGTTTGGACGCTGTCATGGAGAAATTTAATGTAGTGGATTCCTGATTCTGGGTCCCTCCTCTAACAAACCTTTCGATTTTTTTGCAAAAATATTGCTTTCTAGACTCCTCCAGAAATTGGGTACCTGTAAAGTGCGAAACGAAATAGAAACGAAACGAAACGAAATCTGCCGAAACGAAACGAAATCTGCCGAAACGAAACGAAATCTACCGAAACGAAACGAAACCTACCGAAACGAAACGAAATCACGACGAAACGAAACGAAACCTGCCGAAACGAAACGAAACAAAACTATGAAAATGTTTGGGTTTTTTTTTTTCAAATCAAGGTACACGTATATAATTATATATGTGTAACTGCATGTGAACTTTTTTTTTAATCAAATAAAATTTATATACACATGTATATATATATATATAGTTCAAGCACTTGTTAATATAAAATTTTAGATTATTGATAAATTATGCTCCCTTCTCAGTCTAATGATGTATTTACATGTTTACCAGCTGCAAATATGCACGAGCGTACTATGCATGTATAATTTCAATATGTGCAGTATTTTCCAATTTTTATATCTTACTCTTATTTTCAGTCCTTATTTATCTAGATACAATATATCTATCAAAATTGATGTTGTTATATGTAAAGGTTCGTTTATGTACGGGTCGAAATAAAGTCACTGTACTGTTGTATTGCGAATGTCTTAAAACATAGGATAAACCAGCGACTTAGAGTATTTAGTAATCGATTCCGAGGTGTCTGGTTTTATTGTTCAGTTATACATGTAACTACAACCGGAATCTTGTGTATCCTTTCTACGTACATACAATCCTATTTTTATCGAGGTATTTTTCGAAAAAGAAATGAGTGGTTTGCAATAAAATACATCATTAGACTGAGAAGGGAGCATAATTTATCAGTAATCTAAAATTTTATATCAACAAGTGCTTGAACTATATATAATTTTATATATATACATGTGTATATAAATTTTATTTGATTTTAAAAAAAAGTTCACATGCAGTTACACATATATAATTATATACATGTACCTTGATTTGAAAAAACCCCAAACATTTTCATAGTTTTGTTTCGTTTCGTTTCGGCAGGTTTCGTTTCGTTTCGTCGTGATTTCGTTTCGTTTCGGTAGATTTCGTTTCGTTTCGGCAGATTTCGTTTCGTTTCGTTTCTATTTCGTTTCGCACTTTACAGGTACCCCCAGAAATTAAACTGTCTCATCGAATACGACTTTGAACAACAATACCACTAATATTTAAGAAAATTGCATATAAATCTGGGTTTGTGATCTTGCATATCTTTGCTCTTGTCAGACCTTCGCTGTTTTTTATCAAGTACATCTTGTGGTAAATTTTGTTTTGAGGTTTTTAAGCAATAGATTCATGTTCCATTATCTGTTTGAATATCAAACAAACGTGGATAACTACAATTACTAATATTTTAAAAGAATTGTTAAGACATTCGTACACGCTGTCGTTTTCACTCATTTTTCAAAATATAGGGTGACCTTTGAGTACTAAGCTTTTTTACTTTCAAACGTTTCTTAAAAACAGTGTAAACTACTCCCGATATATTATTTGTTGAAATTTGGCAAACAGTACTTATAATTTTTGTTGGCAAGGACGGTACCCATTTTTGATGCCCATTATATAATTTTTTATCATTGAAATCCACCTGCTCATTTGTCTATAAAACAGGCATTGGTTGCTGTAAATGTCACATATTTCAGTGAATATTTCTTTGGAATTTTTAACAGGTTTTACAGCAGCTTTAATGAAGCTTTTATTTTCACTATAGTTTACTGATTTTTTACCATTCATTTATGATGCAGTGTCTCGAATAGCCTTTGTTTCCAAGCTTCTCACGATGAAACTAAGTGATGAAAAGTGGTCACATAAACTTATTAATTCATTAAAGATTCAATAATGAGAGAAAGTCATGTTTAATGTCATATGATATCTGTATAGTATGTCATACAGTTCAGGAAATTATTTATTGAACAACCCTCGTACGTCGTCTATATATCTAAATGTCGAATTGAAGGCCTAATCTATACGAGAATGATACTTTCGTGAGCACACTTTCTAGCGTATTTACACGAAAATTAAGTTCTGACGAGTAAAAACTGGTTTACAGTATTCATTGGTTCATTGTGGGGAGATTTAAGGATTACTTCCTTTTTCTTTAAAAACAATCTACTGAGAAAATACAAATAATTTTAACTTTTTTTTGAATGAAAAGAAAGAAAAATAATTTCTTTTTATACTTATTTATTTATCTATTTTTTTGGGGGGGCACATATATTTGCAACAGATGTCAACTAGTTTACAAATACATATACGAGGATAAAATGAAGAACTCCAAACCACAATCAAGTTTAGTGATGTCCGTACCTATACACCCATTCCCCCAACTCCCTCCTCATCCCGAAAAAAATCTACAGTTTTTTTTTATCTATTCGGTGCTGATTTAAATTTTCAGCTCAACAAATGGCTAACTTTTATTAATATCAAGTATTGAAATTGTTTTTAAAATTCTGGCAGTTACTCTTTTCATGCTTCCCTTGTCAGGTGGGACTTGCAAAAAATGAAATGAGGAAGTAGAGCCCTGATATGCACTTAATTATTTACAGGCTATTTATAATTAGATAACAGGTGTTTACTTTCAACCATTTAAAAATAAAATCTGTTAGAAACTAAAAGGACTGTTGCAAAGTCAAGACCACTATGTTTCCTTTCGCTAGACACATTCTTTAGGTCAAAAGTCAAGGGACTTGTACAGAAATTTTCTGTGGAGACGAATGTCTTTTTATGATGACTAAAACCAATACAACGATTCGTAGAGACTTTTAATTGTTAAATTCTAGAATGTAAAAAGAAACTTCACCAAAATTTTATCCCCTTAGGCTACCATTATGTTTCTTTTCGCTAGACACATTCTTTAGGTCAAAAGTCAAAGGACTTGTACAGAAATTTTCTGTGGAGACGAATGTCTTTTTATGATGACTAAAACCAATACAACGATTCGTAGAGACTTTTAGTTGTTAATATCTAGAATGTAAAAAGAAACTTCACCAAAATTTTTACCCCTGAGGCTACCGAGGACAAAATGCAATAATTCTTCAGAATAATAAACGAAAAGTGATTTTTGTTAAAATCTATGCTTACTTTGTTCGAAAAACCTTATTCTTCCCTCTCATCGTTGTGTCAAACACTTGCATAACTTAAAAGATGAAAGGTAGAACTTATTTTAATTTTTTTAAGAATAATATATCTACTAGCCTTCTTACTGTCTCTTGCCTCCAAGTCCCTCGTACAAAGTAAACTGCTTTCCCGAACTGGAACATGATTCAAAATTCTTAAGATCAAAGGGTTATGATTCCAATCCCCACATATTTCTATTCAGAAAAAACTGCAAACAGGAAAGAATAAAACTCTTCAGCTGGCAAATATAAAATTTAATACTTCCATGTGAGATAAATATGCACATAAATGTAAATATTCCTTCCTGCTCGGCGTTTATGAATGTGAACTCTTGAGAAATTAAAGAACACAAGAAAATTAATTTAATTACATGTAGCATCATTTCCACACACGCATGCACACTCAAAAGCTTCTCATTCAATTAAATTGGAATTCAGAAATATTTTTTAAGGACAATAGTACAAAAATACTACTTTTTAGTTTACATACATGTATATAGAGTACAACTAAATAGAACAATCTTTTAAATCTTTCTAGAATAGATATAAACAGGAGTAATGAATGCATGAAGATTGATGGCAATTTTTAATGACAAATTTAGTAGTATATCTTGATGTTTAACATACTGTGATACTATAGTATTGTTGACAACGGTTCTGAAAAGAGTGTACTTTATGTTTTGGGCTAAATATAACTAGAGACTTCATTCCTCGAATTAATTTTTAAGAAGATAATTGTAAATCATGCACGTAAGTGATTTAGCTCTTAAATATTAAGTTAAAAGAAACATATCCATACATTGTATATCAATGTCTTAAACATGTTCTTTGCACAATTCGATCGATCTTGTTTAATCATCAAACCCATTTCAAATAGATGATCAGGGAAAGACATAAATTTTGATCTACCTACCTTAAAATGACATCGGTCGCTTTGAGAGACTTTTTTTTCTTGTCAATTAAATCGTTCAGACATCTCTGGTCGAGCCTCTTTATTGTAAATCACTCCTTTATTCCTCGAAAATTACGCTGATAACAAAATAAGACCGTGGATGCGATACATCAGTATCCGGTTGGGGTTATACACTTAT